AGCAGTTCTGTATTTAGTGTGCTCTTCTGGCCTTGCACAAGTCGTACTATTGCATTTCGAGCAGGTTAAGGGGGGGCGGCCTTTTCTATTAATGCGCAAGAGTGGGCGGTCTGGATCTTTTAGTATTGCCTAAACGTCATCTGATTCAGACTTGAGCATACCACGATGATTGCACGACGTGACGCGGTGGCCGCGGATACAGGGTTCGCAAGCCCTTTTGTCCCCGTTAATAAGCATCGGTTGACAAAACGAAAGAAATTATCTCAGAAGCGAGCAATACTGTTTATATAAGCTCAAACATCCAGGGATGAAACTTTTATATAGGCAGGCTACAGTTAACAGAGAGAATTTAATATGTAGTAGGATTATGGATTAAGCTGTGGTTGCGGCTAGGAGGATGTTTTCGTTCGAGAGTATGGACTAACCACAACAGGGGTCAGAGCCAAGCTGACTCCTATGACTCCGCTCGAGACTGGGGGGTGCGGTTTCCAGTAAAACTGCTGCCTAGTAAGGCAACGATCCACGGAAATGATATTCAGCAAAAGTTCCGCAAATTATTGGATGTCAATGAGGGACTGTATCACCTTAATGTGGCAAACAAATGTCGGAGCCTGTTCAGCCTGTGTACTTGCAATGTTTATAAATAAAGAAGTTTCGTTAACTATGAGCTGATGGAAGCGAATATTGAATGCCTCTATTCATGGTCTCTCAATTTCAGTCCACTAGAGACGAGACTGGCGAATATGCTGGTCGGTCTTACCAAATTAATCAGCTACAGATAACGTACTCGGAAAGCGAGCCACACCTGTAAGCCAGCCGCACCCCTCTGATTTCCATAGAAAAACGTCTATTTTCAAACAACAATATCTCAACTTTTATTAAATATATTAGTTCGAAATCAGAGTATCTTATTAATATCGGTACTCTTTATACGTAAATTGAGTATAAATAAAAAAGATGCCTGAGAACATATAAATCCTGACCATATACTATAATATATGCTATAATGTATCTTTATCTAGTAACTAAAAGTTAAAAGGATCTCTTAATTTAGTATATTATTACTCCGGTATATATTAAGCTATATATAAACCTTCAAGCAGATAGAAGCTGGATTGGTTGAGATATTGTTGTTTGAAAATAGACGAGACGATTTTCTATGGAAATCAGAGGGGTGCGGCTGGCTTACAGGTGCGGCTCGCTTCCAAGTACGTTACCAACAGAAACATAAAGATCCAACAAGAACCGAATACACTTTTAACTTCTAGCAGACCATCCATAGCGTAGCGAGACATCATCAAACAAACCATAACAAATTTTAGAGATGATCATTGTTTTGTACTTTTATCCTTGTTCGCCTAGTGTCCCAGGCTAGGCACCGGGTGGTTTTGCAATCCCCATTGCCCCTCCGCTATCCGCTTGCCATAGTACTTGACGAGCAGACCGACAATGACTGGACCGATAATCGTATTAAGAAGTATGGCCCATACACCCGTGATGAGGCCCTCCTGGGTTACATAAGACGTATTGTTATAGCCTATTTCAATAATCAATAGGCCAATTTCACCACGGGCAACCATGGCAGAGCCCAAGAGCAGACCGGACAGCCAAGTTCTCTCACGGTCGGATTTCCCCGTGTTGCGGTCACAGTTCGCTCCCTCGGGAGAACCTTGTACAATAGGACCAGCTCTTAATTTTGGTACATTTCTGGTAAATACGCAATCCCACAATGGTATCCATATTCCAACAATGAACTATAAAGTATGAGCAGAAAACAAAGGAAGATCGAACACCCGTAAACCTCACCTTCGCAAATATCATGAGAAGTGTAAAGACGATGCCCCTCCATATCCTTTTCCCAGTCCAAAGCTGCACAAAGGGTATTGCAAATCCCATACTTGCGAAAAATAGTGGTTCCATGAGATACTTTTGCACATCCAAAAGGTAGCGCTCGAATGTGTGAATAAACGTCGGGCTCTTATCAGTCTCTCGCTCGCCCTCTTCACGGCTCATCACGACGAACGGTCCCTCGGGGTGCTTGCTTGGTATGTACGACAGAAATGTGCCTGCAAGAAAGGAACCAAACAGAACTGATGTCCCGGTATAGGCAGCGATGCTGATAAATGCAGACAGGACCAAAACCATGAGAATGATATTAGATATATGGTCGAAGCGCGCAAAGTGATGTTCGATATATCGCCGAAACATTGGTGCAAAGAAGAATTTGGTAACAATAGGAGTGACAAGAGCCATACCTACAGAGGCGACTATAGGACGGCCAATAAGCCAGCCAAGATTGATATCACCGTCCTCTTGGATCATATGTAGATTTCCTATGACGCTATTGATAGTTAGAATTAGCGCATGAGCTCTTGATGATGGAATAAGTCACAAATAATATGGTGACTGACCTAGACATCACGAGGCCAACCACGTCATCAATGACAGCCGCACTGACAAGAACAGAACCAACACGAGTCTGAGCAAGATTTATTGTACTTGAAGCCGATGATATAACAGCAAATGTGGTACCTGAAATATTAGCACGTAAAATAGAATTCAAATTATAGGCAGGTTACCCAGAGAAGTGGCAGAGAGTGCTGCGCCAATAATGAATGTTTCCACAGGGCCTTAGAAAGGTCAGCTTTGTCAGCATCGCGGAAGTGGTAATCTTACCGTATCCAAATCCGAGATAAAGTAGGAGATAGGAGAGACCGATTGGAAAGCAAACACCTGTAATCGCTCCGACCATGCTGAGGACAAAATTTTGCTTGAGCAGGTCAATACGAGCGCCAAGACCCCCTGTACGGATATCAGTAAGTTAGGCTTTACGCAGTAAAGAGGTAATAGTACCTTCAAAGATAATAAGGATCAGGCCAACGTATCCGAGAGAGAGAAAGGTTTTCTGCCACTCCGCGGTAAGGATATCAGCCAGAGGCTTTCCATATATTATCCCAACTGCAATTTGGCCTATAATGCCAGCACGGATCATTTTCGAGGAAAGCCATTCTGCCAAGGAGAGGATAAAGAAAAAGGAGATAATTGTTAGGATTTCGACAACTGCATACAGTCAGTGCAGGGTCTATATGGCCACAGATCAAGCGCTCCACACATACTCCCAGGCTCGTGGTAGGCAATGAAGCCACCTGCCATAATTACGCCGATATCCTTGACTAGGTAACCAGAACGGTAGGAAGATTTGACAGCAGGAGTAATTGGTTTTTCGGGATCAGATAAACCCCATCGCCTCATATCACGTGCACTTTGGCAAGTTTAGTGATTATATGTAGCCCCACGCATAGTTAACCACGAATCGCCCAGTAAGGCTGGGTCTTACCCTCCGCTGTCGAATGAGACAAATATCTGCTACTATTTAGCGTTGCTCACTGGCGTCTTAGCACTTGGTCGCTACAAAAACTTATGCTCTCCACTCCAGAAACACCCATCGGAATATTTGTGGCATGGAAATAGTGAAAAATTAGGAGCTCAGTAATAAATATTCCAAAGAAAGCATACCAGTTAAGAAGCTGTTACTGGAACCTTCGTTGCCTTTTGTAAATTTATACTTTCTTTTGAAAATGTTCACTAAGCATTGATCAATAATGATCAGAGAGAATGAGCCAAGAAAAGGAGATGATTAGCTTACCCCCATAGCAGGCTGGAAAGTGTCCCTCGTCTAGAGAAGATAAACTCAAAAGGCACTCGAGCGAAATGTTGTTTTCACCGTACCGGTAGGTGATAACAGTTGATTGCCGAGCCAGTCGGCTAGAGGTAGGACTGTATTAGGTAGATATCTGGTTGATGCTGCCAAGATCCTCCATTTGCCACGTTAACGAATCCGGTATGTACTTTTAGAGTATCCACATCCTTGGCGTACCCTCTAGGCGCCAAGGTTCGCACTTCCCTCCAGTGACCGTAGACGTCCACATTCAGCCAAGGTTCACTCTGAATCCAGACAAAGGCTAAAGAGTGGACCCTGATAAAGGCTCTCGCCTGACCGCAAATGGCTTAAAAAGGACCTTCGGCCACTTTGCTACACTTTTAACCATTCTATGCGGTCAGGTTTTAATTTTGGACGCATACTAGGCAGAGAGGCATCACGAATACATTATCTTTTACAATGGTCGAAAAGGACTCTGGCGCTGGCCTTGGAGAATGCCTATTGAGCCAGTCTGCCCACGCTCTCCCATACGACGTTGTGATTAGAGAACTGGGGACCAAACTCGAAGAGGGCTTGAGCTCTGAGGAAGCGAAACAACGTCTTCACAAGTATGGCCCCAACAAGTTGGAAGAAGGTGAAGGAGTCTCCGTGATCAAAATTCTTATCCGCCAGGTGGCCAACGCAATGATGCTAGTTAAGGGACCCATTTTTCTTTGCCTTGATCCCCTCTTCGTTGTATAAGAGCTCCCAGAGTCTGATCCAATTCGTCGTTATAGGTCTTAATACTAGCCATGGCCGTCAGTTTCGGTATCAAATCGTGGATTGAGGGCGGATTTATCACCGCTGTTATCGTTTTGAATATTATCGTGGGTTTCTTCCAGGAGTATGCCGCCGAAAAAACAATGGAATCATTACATTCATTGAGCTCGCCTACCGGTACAGTGTCTAGGGACGGCCAGACTTTCGCGGTTCCTTCAGTGGAGATCGTTCCTGGTGATATGGTTGAATTGCGAACAGGCGATACAGTTCCAGCAGACATCAGGTATATCTTCCATGTGTCTATGTGGTTTCAATATCAGTTAATGATTAATTATCTATACTAGATTAGTCGAAGCTGTGAACTTCGAGACAGACGAGGCCCTGCTCACAGGAGAGTCCCTTCCGGTCCAGAAGGAATATGATTCTACATTTAAGGAGGATACTGGCCCTGGAGACCGTCTGAACATCGCTTATAGCTCTAGCACCGTCACTCGCGGTCGCGCGCGTGGTGTGGTCTTCAGTACCGGTATGTCCACTGAGATTGGTTCTATTGCTGCTGCACTGCGAGATAGCAACAGTAAGAAGCGCCCGGTGAAGCGTGGACCCAACGGAGAGACGAAGAAGCGTTGGTATGTTCAGGCATGGACCCTGACGGGTACTGATGCTGTCGGTCGGTTTCTTGGTGTCAATGTTGGAACTCCACTGCAGAGGAAGCTGTCGAAATTGGCCATTATACTGTTCGGAGTCGCTGTACTCTTTGCTATCGTTGTAATGGCTGCCAATCTCTTTAGTGACAATAACGAAGTTATCTTATATGCAGTCGGAACTGGCCTCAGTATGATTCCCGCGTGCTTAGTAGTCGTCCTTACTATTACCATGGCTGTCGGTACGAAGCGCATGGTTGAGCGGAATGTTATTGTTCGCAAGCTTGATTCTCTCGAGGCGCTTGGGGCAGTGACAGATATCTGTTCTGATAAGACAGGTACTTTGACTCAGGGCAAGATGGTTGTTAAAAAGGCCTGGATTCCCTCGAAAGGCACCTACTCAGTCGGCATATCTAATGAGCCCTTTAACCCCACTGTCGGCAACGTAACGTTCACCCCGGTGTCTCCTGCGCACTTTGATGTTGAAAAGGAAGGAGAGCCTGTGGGGAAACCAGAGGACCTCATCTTGGGAAACCGTCAACTAGAGGACTTCTTAGACGTGGCATCTATGGCTAATTTGTCGCATGTTTATAAATCCG